CTCTGGCTCTAGACGGCTTTCTGCTCTTGCTGACCTAGATGGAATCTTCAAATGGACTCCATGCAGTCTGTAGCTTCTCTGTGGAAGTAGGCTGCAGTGTTTCACACAGAGGAGCAACTTTATTCTGAGCACAAATCTGCACTTATTCTGTCTGATAGTGGAACAACAGTTTCCTGTTTGGGATTTTTGAAGCAGTAAGGATTGAAGGTGGGCAAGTTGATCCAAAATATCGATAATATCAACACCAGTTCTGTATCTGTATTGGATCAATATTAGTGTGCCAAGATTGATACTTTAGTTTTAAGTTCCATCATGAATTTTTGTTATTTTTTATTGAGGTCTCTGCTCTACCTCAAAAAACACCTTCTGATTTTCTCTCAAATGGTAATTTTTGCACTTTGTTTATTTAGGTAAAATCCACACAAATCATGTTAATATGTTATTGATGCATTTTGTAGATGCCTATAAAATTTCTTTAACTTATATCCTCGGTGTGAACAAAAGAATTTAAAGAAAAGAACACAAAAAACCCTAAAGATCCGAAGTTTGATGATATGTCAAACTTGAATAAAAAAAGTATCGTATCGGTATTAGTATCGGTGATACAGGCCCTATAGTTAATTTATATTGGATCGATACCAAAATATAGAGTGTCGAACACTCTATATTTATATATATTTATATATATGTATTAAATATATATATTATATGTTTCATTTGCAGTCATACACTCCACATGTAGACTGATCAGCACTGATCCATGGACTCTAATACAGACTGTCTGGGTCAGACAGAAATAGAAGAAAACTCAAATATTTTGACTTATTTTGATTTATTGGAGAACAGCTGAATAAACTAATTACATCTAATGTAGCCTCTTCGCAAAAGACGATTCCCAAACTCCTTCAAGACGAATACATCAACTTTATATGCCTCTCGACTTGTTGTCCAGAGTGATTGTGACAGCAGAGAAAGCAAAGTGAATTTCTCTGAAACAAAACACAGCTGTGACGATGTTATTAGGGAAGAGAGTGGGGGGCTTTGGGAAGCAGCGGCAGCCACGTGAAGTCAGAGTGACTGCCAGGTGGCTGTGAGGGATGCTGGCAGACCTAATGACAGCTTGTTTTCATTGGCCTCCGCGGATAGGACAAGGACGGAGTGGGGATAATGGGTCAGAACGGGGAGAAAAGGTAAATAGCAGTCATGTTCGGCTCAGAAGAAACAAACCAGCCAGCTGGTGGGGAGAACGGGGGGAAAAAAAGTAAGCGAACAAATAGAAGAGTCAGGAGGAGGAGGAGGGGGGCTCAGTATCTCTGGGTAGAGCTCGTTCATCTGCAGACCAAGCAGAGGTGCGGCTGAGCAGCCCCGCGCTCTGATTGGTGAGGCGAGACACTGCTCCATCCCTCCTCCTCCCCCTCCTCCATTACCCCCACCCCCAGCTGAAGAAAGAGGTGCAGCAGCAGCAGCGTCAGACTCAGACGGCACAAGACTCCAATCCAGACGCAGCAATTTTTTTTTCCCCGCAGCATCTTCCCTAGGATGAAATCTCCAGAGTGTCTGCGGACAGGCTTTGTGTTTTTTATCACTACTATCCAGCTCTGAATAACCGCATCTCCATCTGCAACCGGGCTTATAGATTTTTTTTTTTCTGTAAATAAGCATTTTTTTGTTTTGTTTTGTTTCCATTGAAATTAACCATCCTAAAAGGAAAGGAAAGCCTTGACCTTAAAAAAAAAAAAAAAAAAAAAGGGAACAAAACATCCGTTGCCTTGTGCTAAAGAGGAAGACTCCGGGTCACCATGGGCAGGCAGGGGAACGACGTCTCGGCCGCGGCTCCCGGGATGCGCATCCAGTGCTCCCAGAGCAAGATGAGCCTGTCTGCGTCGTTCGAGGCGCTGGCCGTCTATTTCCCCTGCATGAACTCCTTTGATGAGGAAGATGGAGGTAAGACGACATCCGGGGAAATGTCACGCGCATTCAGCTTCTGCTGGCTTTGGGGTTGGTGGCGCCGAGCGAGCAGCTGGGAAAGATGCACCCATTTTTTATTTTTCATTTTTCTTTATTTCGGTTGGGAATTACGGCAGATTGAAAGAAGGAAATTCAGTTATCGTTTGGTTCAGTTGGGTTGATAATGAAGTGATGTTTATTTTTTCTATTGACACCAGAAACAAAGATGATCTTATGAAAAATAATAATAATAATAATAATAATAATAATAATAATAATAATAATAATAATAATAATAAGAAGAAGAAGAAGAAGAAGAAGAAGCCTGACTTTGTGGGTTTGCGGATTATTTTCTGTTTTGCTTAGGTCAGGACCCCTGACATGTTGTGACATTGTGCCTCAAATGATTTATTTAATTGTTAATCATTTGATCAACACTCAAAACTAAAATTTACCCCACAATGTCAGGAAGTAACATCTGCTATTTATCAATTTTAAACAAACTCCGACTGTCTGAATGCTGCTTCTTGCCTCATTCTGACTGTAATTTGCAGAAAAGATTCGCTTGGTTTGAAATGTTGCGGTTTTGAGGCTCATTGATGAGATCGGACTCGTCACTGATTGGCTGAGGAGGTTTGCTGCAGACGTCAGAGACAAACCTTTGTCACTGCGTCTCCTATTGAATATTTGTGAAGAGCAGGAAGAGGAGGCTGGCTCAATAACTGAGCTTTCAAGGCTGAAGAGGTTCATTACTGCAAAGTGTGTGTTTGCACAAAAGACCAAGAATCTTCCAGACACGTGACAACTACACACACCGGCAGAATATGACAGTGTTACAGAGAAAGCATTAAAATCAATTATTTATGAGCGATTTGTGTCCTTTCAGGGTCAACCATGTTGGATTGTTGGCCTCATTTTGAAGTCATGTGACTGCATAAATAAAGGTTTCACCATTCACATACTGTAAATCATTTGACTCCAGGAAGAATAAAGGAAGTCGTACACCTGAAGATGCCATGACAACCAGAGACGCACCAATCAATCGGCCAGAGACTGAAATCAGTCCGCTTACTTCATTTCCTCTCTGGAGGTTGTTTAGCAGATCTAATACTGAAAAATGTTTATTACAGGCACCAGAACTAACAACTTCCACAATTTCTTGCCAATAAACACATAAAAAAACACAGACACATAAAACAAAACTCTAAAAAGCTAATTAAACTTCTTTGAGTTTAATAAATATCAGATAATGGTTAGGTGTCACACTCATACACCCCAACCTGCATACATGTGGAGAATCTTCTCATAAGTTACTTTTGGATTCAAAACTATTTCCTCAAATCAGAAAAAAAAAAACCCTGGCACTTTATTTTTCTTTAATGTGCTATAGTCCTTACAAAAATGGATGTGGTCAAACTCACCACTCAAAGTCCACCGGACATTGGTATCAGCCATGAAAAGCCTCGATTGGTGCATCTCTTGTTATGCTTTTATGAAAATAAATAAGGCTATTGGGTGGATAGAGAACACAGAAAGTAGCAATTAATTATCATCACAGTTGAGCACCGGTCTCAGTATATTGTAAAAAGAAACATGGATCTGTTTCTGCTACCTGCCTCATCGGCGAACCATAATGACAGGTTTTCAAATATGGAAATGTGAAGGTGACTTTTTATGGAGCAGGTGATAAATTACTATATTTGTGAATGGGTGTTGGGTCACATGGGTTGTCAGCAGCCTGTGTGGTAGGAACCTTTCTTTGTGTTTCCACCCTGAAGGGGGAAACAGTTTTTGGCTGCAGAAGTAACTAGGTGCTGTCAAGATGCGTAAGCATTTGGAAATGTGTTTGGCTTGAAGAGGACACTGACGAGACTTAAAGAAAATAAGTAGATGACCTGCATAATGAGCAATGGCGGCTCAGTTTAAATGACAAGGCAATAATCAGTGAGTCAACAGGTGTATCACCTCAGTGCCTTAAAGGGGCAGTGCTATGTGATTTTCAGGCACATACCACCATTTTATAGCATAATCTTGTAACTATGTTACCTTCAGCTGTTACAAAAATCCCATGTATATTAAAAGAAATTTGACTTCGTAAGGTAACATCTTGAAATTGGGCCTCTGTCTCTTTAAAATCTCCTGCTCTTTCTGAAACTCTGCCTTCAGGAAGTCATCACAACATGGCTCCTCTATTACCCTTTAACAACATTTTTCCCAGCATTACCCTTGAGAAGCAGCTGGTATAATGAACTCAGCTGGTGCACAGCACCAACAGATGCTTGCTAATTGCAGCTGGCTAGTCTGAAGGAGCTGAGTGGGGGAGTTGCAGGGAGGCAGGAGCCTTTGGGCTTCGAAGCAGCAGCTTAAAGGCAGAGCGAGGCCCAACCAGACATCTTGCACAGCTGAATGGTTGCCAAGGGAGATTAAACAATTTCTCAAACATGCATGAAAGAAACATTATAACAAAAAAAAGCTCAAAAAAGTTGATTTTACATAATACTGCTGCTTAAAAGCATTAGCTTTGCCTATGCAATAAGCATTGGTCAAGGGATGAGGGCGATACCTGTGGTTTGTGTAGGTATGAGCACTGCAGTAACCATAGTAACTGTGTGATCATGGACTGTGGATGAGCAGCAGCAGGTTTGATGGGGGGGAAGGCAGTCAGCTGTCTTCTTGGATCAGTTTGAAGGGTTGATCTAGGAAGCATGGAGGATGGCAGTGGATTATGAACCCACTGAGGTTCCTGTGGCAGTTGGAAGTACAAACCGTACTTGATATTCTGCTTGGCATGATATCCACACAGTGCCACCGGCATATGGAGATTTATAAATCGGAATTCTTATACGTTTGTCACATGATCCCAAAACCATCACTCACATGCTGGCATTAAGCAAGAGTTCCAAAAGACACGGTTCTCTCTTATGAAGAAAAACAAGCACAAGGCTTTTCAGCAACCATCCACGTGAATAAAGCCTGATTCGATTCGCCGTCATGAATTCATCGCCCTCTCTCTGTCTCTCTTCTCCCGTCTCGTGTTGCGACTCTGTGTGCAGAAGCAGGAGGTAAGAAGCTGCGGAGCACCGTCCAGAGGAGCACGGAGACGGGGCTGGCGGTGGAGATGAGGAGCAGGATGACTCGGCAGGCCAGTCGGGAGTCCACAGACGGCAGCATGAACAGCTACAGCTCAGAGGGAAAGTAAGAGGACAGACAGATGGCTGCAGCCGTTACATGATCAGTTCAGACTGAAGCTGTGAAGTGGTACCTGACCTAACGCTGTCTTCAATCTGATCTCTGGCTTCCAGCCTCATCTTCCCCGGAGTGAGGCTCTCCTCGGACGCTCAGTTCAGCGACTTCCTGGATGGTCTCGGACCTGCCCAGCTGGTTGGACGGCAGACTTTGGCCACTCCACCAATGGGTGAGAAGAACGTTGTAGCATTTTGTTTTTATAATAAAAGAAAATTTGTGATAATAAAGCTTTTGGCTTTTTTGAAAATATCTTGTTCTATCTGTTTTTTTAGGGGACATTCAAATAGGCATGGTGGAGAAAAAAGGAGCCCTAGAGGTTGAGGTCATCAGAGCCCGGGGCCTTGTGGGTAAACCAGGATCCAAGGCACTGCCAGGTAGTTCATGTTCTCAGACAGACCAAATGTAATGAACTGTATCATTATATATTCAAAATCAGACAGAGGATTAATAAATAATTTAACTGCTCCAGTGATAAAATTATATTTACCAAAACATCTTGTAAATACTTGACTGCTTCATCTGACCTGAACTGAGTTGAATCCTCAGTTCAGGTTTCAAGTGTAAAGTGTTCATCATGCATTTTATTGAGTATGTAAAAAATTAAAGTTGGTCGCCGAGGCTGGGTTCCTGCTTTTCAGGTCAACCAATCAGATGTTGGCATCTGTATGACGACACGCTGTCTCAGTTAAATGTCTTCATGCTGAACCGGAGCACAGAAACCATCAGAACCTAAAATGAATCATGTTTAGAATAATGAATTCTGATCTGAACTAACGAACTTCAGATTTTCTTATTGTGTTTTTAATAAATAATTGGTATGTTAAATGAATCTGTTTAATGCTAATTATAAAAACTATAAATTATTACGTTTTGTTTTTTTTTTAGTTGTGGAACTTTATGTAATTGCCGGGTCTGTAATTAATTAATCAATTGCAATTACTCGCATTTTGATCAAAAACCATATATCAACAAAACAACGAGCGTTTAAGATTCAAAAGACCCATTTTTGCTGCTAAATGATTTAATATAGAGACATATGAGCTCAACAGCAAATATATTTACTGTTTTTAATCTGTTAATCAGGTTATTCAACCATCTGATTGGTGCAAAGTGCTGCTATAGTTATTCAGCTTTCTTGTATTTCAGGAACTCCTGATTGTTCATGGAACATCTTTAGTAAAATGTGAACTGTGGACACTGACGTTAGCATTGGGGATTTCTGTGCAGCTGCTACATGTTTAGCATTGAGATGCTATTTTAGGCTTGAATAGCTTCGCTAATAGGCTAACTCCTTTTAGCACAACTTGAACACAGCAATAGTCTTTTCCAGCGTCCCATCAGATGTTTTTTTGAAGCAACAATAGGCTCCCATGGGCTAAAAGAACAAGCAAGTTTCAGCTAGCAGCTAGCTAGATCCTAGTCTGTTTTGGTTTTTGGGGGAAGGAGGTAAATTCACTGCATTGTAGTATTTGGGATTCTTAATACAAAACAAGCAGCGTGTCCAAAACCATAACTCACCTTTCTCTCTTTTGTCAATTCCAGCACCATATGTAAAGGTCTACCTTTTGGAAAACGGAGCCTGCATAGCCAAAAAGAAAACAAAAGTAGCAAGAAAAACTCTGGACCCTCTCTACCAGCAGCAACTGCCGTTTGAGGAGAGTCCAGGAGGGAAAGTTTTACAGGTGACAAAATGATTCTTTCAACTGGTCACCTTCTTGTTTGATCAAAAAGTTCAGCATTTTTATCAACTGTTGCGATTTTTTTATTTTTTATAATGCTTTCTCAGGTCATCGTCTGGGGCGACTATGGCCGCATGGACCACAAATCCTTCATGGGAGCAGTCCAGATCCTGCTAGACGACCTGGACCTGTCCAACATGGTGATCGGCTGGTACAAGCTCTTCCCTCCTTCCTCGCTAGTGGACCCCACGCTGGCCCCGCTGACGAGAAGAGCTTCCCAATCCTCGCTGGACAGCTTCTCGCGATCGTAGCAGCGTTGCGGACCTAACAGCGTCGTTGTAGCAGCCGGTGTTGCGATTTGCAGGTCACGAGGCCCCACCCCGGTTACACTGCATGCTTGATGTTGTGTCTTCTGAGCCTGTTTCTAGGGGCGCAAAACAAAACAAAAAAAACAACAAAAAAGAAATAATAAAACGTGATCCTGTGTTTTAAACAAAAACGTTGCGCACATTGTGCACGTGGCAAAGCGCGTTGCAAGCACCCAGCGGCAGGGAATTGCCAGGTGTCGTTTGTCATTCGGAGGAAGCCGGGACGAACTCCTTAGCACGAGGAACTCATCGGTTCCGGCTTTTTCTTCCAATTTGAAGCCATGGGGAGGGGCTGACACCGGGAACCACTAAACGAGTTCCGGCAGAGGCCCCTTTTTAGAATGAAAAAAAAAAATCAATGTTAAGTTGATTTTTTTAAATTTTTTCCTGTCTTTTTTCTTTTTTTTTATGTCTGTGTACTTTTATCTGAATGGGGGCCGTGGGGGTGACGGTGTTTCTAACCAGATGCTTGGTCACACCATGCCAACAAACCTAGCGACATAAATGCAGTTGTGGAGACCAACACTTTCAACGAGGGGGAGGGTGTGTGTGTGTGTGTGTGTCTATCCTCCTACATGCAAGAAAAATGCATTGCATCCTCTGGGTTTATGTGCTGATCCATCTTTGCTGGTAAATCACCAGTTAATCAGGGGCAATACTGAAGTGGCCACCCACCAACACTCCAGAATACACAGTAGCAATCCCAACCCCATGAAAAAAAAAAAAAAAAGTAAAACTTTTTATTTTCCTCCTTTGTTGATATACCGTACAAAAAATCAAACTTTTTTTTTTTTTTACCCCTTTTCAGTTCATTTGCATGGGCACAAACTCTTAGCTGAATTTAAAAAGAAAAGTATATATATATTTATTTTCTTGAGGCTGTAACTTGCAAAAAAAAAGTTGAAGAAAACGAAATGAAACAAATCAGCCATTTTCAACGATTTATATTATTTTTAAAGAAATATTTCACTAGTGCATGGTTTTCAAGGGGAGTGAATGCAACATTGTGACAAAAAAAAGACATTAGTTTATCATTCTTTAGACCATTCATGGGTGTTTTTTCAGACATTCAGATAAGGGAACTTTAAAAAAAAACATTTGGAGTTATTTAAGAAAAAAGTGACAATGAAAATAAATGTTAGTTATTTATTTCATTGTAAAATGCTCCAGCCTTATAAAGAAACATTATGTGCAAATTGTACATTTCTCTTTTTCTTCCTGGTCCCAGGGTACTTCTCTTTGTAGTATTCGCTGCTACCACCACTTAGTTCCCTGATATGGTCCTAATTTTGGGACTCAGTTTCTTTACAGTTCTGCATTGTTTTTAATACGTTTTTTTTTTTTTTTTTTTCTTATTTTGTTTTAAATTGAATTTGATTTTACAAGCATGTTGAAAAGGATTTTCTGCAACATGTCTTGGGCACACCTTACAGTAACTCAGCATGTTTTGATAAAGATGATATTTGGACTTTTTGCAGATTCTTGTACAGTGCATGTGAACTTTATTACTTTTCTCCCTCGCAATTAATTGAGCAGCAAATTAGAAGTTGGTCTTCCGCGGCCAGTTATCGAGGTCTAAAACAAGATGAGAGAAAAGAAGAAGAAAAAATAAAGACAAAAAAACATTCCATCCCCAAAGTCATATTTTCTTTCAGAAATTTTGAGGGAAAACAAACAAAAAAAAAGAGAAAGAGAAAAAAAAAGTTTTATATTTTATCAAGGCAGGCAAAATAAATGTGATTCCAAGTATATTTATTTTGACGCTGTCGTCGACAAACATGCAAAAACGATCCTTTTTTGGTGCGCCGAGGCACCCGTAGCGTTGTTAAGGGGCCGCGGCGGCGCAGCAGCAGTGGCAGGCTGTGGTTCGGTTTTACAAGCACTCTTAGTGAAGATGAGCAAATCACAAGTTTAAATAACAATAGGGGATATTGCCACAGAAATCTTTTTTTTTTTTTTTTTTTTTTTTAAGAAAAAAAAAATTATTTTTTTATTTTTTTTTTATTTTTTTTTTAAAACCAACCCCTTTTTTTTT